TGCCGTGTCCACTGTATATTATCAATAGGGTGCATCGTACATGCAGTAAACGTCACGGGGATACTATAAATATTACAGAGAATAGGCTTACAATAAAGTACGTAAATTTATCTATGAAAAAATAGTATTCGCGATTGATGATGCATGGAACAGTTACCCTAGGGCACCGACGGTCGTGTGAATGTGTATAAAAATACGTCAACCATTTAATAAACGCCTAATTAGTTTACACATTATATCGATAACAATTATAATCACAGCGCTACCGTTTCTAACGCTACATTACTTGTTGCAGAGGAAACGTGCACATATCAAATATTAGCAATAGTGTATTATTAAAATCACGTGATCAATAAGTCTCTGATACGCAATTTACGGGAAGTGATGCTTGAGCGACGGATGGAGAAGAAGTGAACACAATGAATTTCCTACACTTCATTCGGGTTTTTTTTAATTCACCTAGTTTGAAGTTCTATTAGAAGCATTTCACAATTTAACGCATCAAAACACTTTATCAAAAATTGTTTCATAAACTTAATTACCTGTTAAGAAAATTGACGGCAGTCTCTCTGCACAATGGAGCCTAGTCAGCCAATATCTACGCATCAACCAAGGTCACTTGTATTTCTATTGGAGATAGGTCATCGAGATTTAATAAATCAAAAATGATTATTTTAATAACAATATTAATACTTGTTGGCCTTTATTTATGTAGCACTTTCCACGTCAAATGCTACATGTCATTGCTAAACTAGAAATAGTAACAAATTTGCAACCTCTTTTTCTCCCAGGTAGTATCTATAAACCTGTTTATGTATTTCTACGCTCCAGTACCCATTGTATTCGTAGGTGGTGGTGATTATTTTAATTGTAATACTGTATATTGATTAGTTCGGAGAAATATCTAAATACCTTGGCTGCTTATAAATGTTTGAGTGCAATAAAATAGTCATCATCATCACAAAAATATTCTTAACAGTCGTAACTCTCTGGCATATGAACTGGACTTTGAAGTAGTTTAAGTTTTTTTTTTCACCGCAACTCAGTCGCAACTCCCTTACTTGAGCCGGCGTCGCCACCTGTACAGCGCACGGCGGTAGTAGAGCCGAGGCTTATCCAAGGTGGAAGCTACTGGAGCCCAGCAAACTGTCGCCGTGGTATACCTGCGCGTACACGGTTGTGGTGATGACGCCGGGAGTGCGCATTTCCCTACCCTTTTTGTGTTCGCGGTTTGTTTTTGCCAATTTTGGCTGCAGTCTTTTTTTTTTCCCCATCTAACTTCGGGTTTATATACTGTCAGCGCCTTGAGACGATTTTATTGTGGAAGGTGCTGTACAAATATCGTACTATTACCATATATTTAAACGTCAATTAAGTAATTCTATATTTTAGAAACATTTTACCAATTTTTGCAAAAAAATATTTAAATATCTTGGCTGCTTATAACTTTTCAAGTACAATAATGTTGTCATCATTATCACAAAAATATATTTTTAAACGTCAATTATTTAATTCTACATTTTAGCGATATTTCACCAATTTTTGCAATGTGTATAACGCTTTGTGTTGACGCATGTGTAAAATATTTTTGATTTAATATCTTAATGTTATATTTTGATTTGTGAAAATATCACCACGGTGGAACTTGCTTGTGATTTTTAAAATAGTTTTTTATTTAAGTTATTTTAATTAATATGATAATAATAATTACAATTTATCGGTTGTGAAACTTAAAATAAGCATGGTATTTATCACCAAGGCAATTTTGTTGAATTGCCTTGTTATTACCAATATCTGTTAAAACTATTTACCCATTTAGGCTACTCAGAGTTACGTCATTATACTTTACATTTAACCAGCTGTGAATAATCAATTATATACAATATAATGACGTCAGGTGCGCTTGAGATTACACTTTACATTACTGTCCTACCTAGAGCATGTTGGTGATTTATTTGTGATTGAATGCGATAATCCTTGTAATTCGCTTCAAATCCGATTTTGGACGAATTTAACGACGAGTCTTTCAGAAGATCTTGTATAAATTGAAAGAAGTAAAATGACTTGATATTTTTAATCACCTTGTTTACGGAACACAATTTAAAAATCGGATAAAGTGTTACAAGGCTTTTTTCGTAACACTTTGATTCCAAATTCCATCACTAGCGTTATAATTCATGTTTCAGAAATAACTTTGTTTTACGCTATTTAAGACGATTAGCAATACATCTTCATCTAGAAATTACGCGCAATTGGTAATCTATGCGTAGGCCTATATATACACTCAGAAAAATAGCTTTCTTGTTTAGCTAGTCTTACAGGCCCGTAATTAGCATTGTCACCCAAAAAAGCAAAGGGCCGAGGTGGCACCCACTTCTTTTCTTTAGTGGAGTTTATGGGGAGTGCTTCGGTGGGTTCAGGTTAAAACTTCCTGCCAGCTGATTAGGTGTACCGAAGAGGGCTTGCTTTAAAAGTGGGGTCGGTCAAAGCGTGAAAACTTCGAAAAAGGAAAAAGCAAGGATCTTAGTCATGTTTCTAACAGAAACACCACCAGTGTACCCATATCAATTGAAGTATACATAAAATAAGATTTAAGCACATTTTCTTACAATTACACCCAGGCCTATTGTAAAACAGCTGAAAACCCCCTCTTTTATTTTAATATACTGTACCGGTTGAACATTTAGCAATATTCAAATGTAATTTCCATCATCATTGATATAACTTATACACTTCGAATGATTTAATGTGAATGGGAACAAAGATACATTCAGTTCATCAATAAACGAATATTAGCTTGTAAACGATTTTGCGTTTCTGTTTTTTTTTTTCAATTTAGTTCAGCAAAATTAAAATATAAATGTGAAAAGTATAGATAATGAATTGTGATAGAATCGTAGATCGGCCTATATTTGCTCTTAAGTATTAGTAACGTGTTTACGAGGGTTAAAATTTATAAGTAGGTTTACAATGATAAAAAGTCATACATGTCGGATGTACTGAAGGAGCTATAAATCTTTGTTTAAATTATATAATTCTTATAAAGTTAACCTATGATATTTCGAAATGTTTTGTAGATTGCTGGACAAATTTAATAAAATTAGAAGTTAATTCATATAACCGTTTTTTTTTTTGTTTACTCAACAGACTTGAATAACAATGACAGATATAGTAACCGATGCCTGGTCGACAACACAAGGATTTACGGCACTGAATTTTACGGAAACATCTGAACTATTTACGGAAACTACGACAGTTTACGATCGTTTCCCGCAACATGAGAAGACCTGGCAAGTTGTGCTTATTATTTTGGCCAGTGTTCTTCTCAGTTTCGTCACCTTTACTGCAAATGTTATGGTATGGATGTCTTTCTATATGGATAAACAGCTGCAAGTTGTCAATAATTATTTCTTACTAAGTTTATCTGTGGCCGATATGATCATCGCCTCCATTTCCATGCCACTTTACACCGTTTACATTGTTAAATCGTGGACACTTGGTCCTGTTGTGTGCGACATCTGGCTCTCTATTGACTACGTCGCGTCCAATGCGTCTGTAATGAACCTCGTTGTTATCTGTTTTGATAGATATTTTTCAATAACTAAGCCATTGACATACAGGGCCAATAGAACACCAAGAAAGGCAAAAATCATGATCGCAACTGCTTGGAGTGTATCTGTAATTATTTGGGTACCTCTTATTATCGGCTGGCCTCGTTGGAACAAGAGAACAGTAGCTGAAAATGATTGCTATATACAATTTTTAGAAGAAGGAAAGACATTATCAGCAGTGCTGAACTGTGTCACAATAAGCATTGCGTTTTATTTACCAGTTATACTGATGTGTTATATATATTATAAAATTTGGCGCGAAACTGAAAAGCGTTCGAAAGAGCTTCGGCATTTACAGGCTGGAGAGGGCGATGGTTATGCTGCTTCAAAACGTCTACTTGTGTCTGATCCTGACAAGTTTCAGTATGAAAATACCAAAAAGTCATGGAAGAAGCGATTAATGTGCTATTCAGATGTTGGGGTGGATGACGAATTGGAGGATAGTAGTGACGCTATGTTACCGCCGCTTCCAAGTACATCGACGACAAATACGTCCAGTACAAAGTCGCGAAATACAATAAGTCTGTCGCCGAAATCTTCCCCTAGTCAAAAACAAAAAAACGGTAATTTAATTTCTAGTGAAAATGTAGAGCATAACTTTGCTGCTTCGCTTTATACAATTCTCATTAAACTTCCAGATGAAAATGCCAAAAATGAGAATGACAACAATGTACCGAAGATAACAATGGTGGAATATACTCCGCGGACAGCGCCGCCTACAATTCTCCAGGACAAGGACACTGGTCCAAACCTGTTATCGCCTGTAAAACAGGACTCATCAAATAGGCCTTCGTCTGTGTGCGTTGTTCCCCCTAATACTAAGAGTTGCCCTTCAAACTTGAGCATACATGCTATTACTGCTGTCAAATCAGCGGCGACGAAAGCCAAAGCAAGTAACGCTGTGAAAAAGAAGAGAACAGTTTTAATTCGTGAAAAGAAAGCAGCACGTACCCTAATTGCGATCTTGTTAGCTTTTGTCATAACATGGACTCCTTACAGTGTGTTGGTTATAGTAAACGCACTAAAACCAGGAGGTGTTAATGCTAGACTGTATACAATCTCATACTGGGGGTGTTACTTGAATAGTACAATCAACCCTATATGCTACGCCCTGTGCAATATGAACTTCCGACGCGCGTTTAAGCAAATCTTGACGTGCAAGTTCCGAAAGAAGCATCAACGCATGCGCACTAAGCAACTTCAAATAGGTTCAAATCAAAAGATGAATTCATCACGATAATTTATTATTGACTTTGTGTTGTATGACATAATTATGACAGCTGTTATTACTTTTACGATTTATACCATTTCTGTGAATTAGTGAGATTTGTTGCGGATTTAAGCGTTCAGTTTGAAACGACTTAAAATGACAAGACGCAATTGTACGTGTAATGTATATGATGCTGCATGTTTCAATGCTATGTTTGTAATAATTTTGAAAAGCTAAAAAAACATTATGACCATTGAAAATACAGTTAAATAATAGTTTACACAAAACAATAAGATGTACCGTATTAAAATAGATCGGTCGATCTAAGTCCATAACCCCAACAAAATATACGTTCATAATTTAGGTTCACAAGTATTTTTATTTTTAACCTTGTTCATAGTTGTGTGGGAAACAATACTGTAACAAAAATGCCTGCCATCTTATTCTTATGAATTAGTTTAAATATATATTTTTTCAAATTTCTCTGCTCACAATGGCTTATTTACCACACATATTCTGACTCATGATAATCCAACAAGTCCTTACTTTAAAATCAGTTTTTAAAACGCACCTTCTTCAATAATGTCTCTTATTCTATTATTAGGCCTATTATATTATTATTATTATTATTATTATTATTATTATTATTATTATTATTATTATTATTATATTACTACTACTACTATTATTATTATTACTATTATTATTATTATTACTATTATTATTATTACTATTATTATTATTATTATTATTTATTATTATTATCACGAGGTTTTGTTTGGAGATATACTTTTACATTAAACATCAATCATGTTTTGTAATAGCGAGACGCAAATGGATAAGACACGTTAGGTTAAAATGACATTGAAGCCGGAAATGTTAACCAAATTTTCTCTACCGTTGTAAGAAAATTAGGTGGAAGTTGACATGCCATAGGCTTAAAACCCCCATCTCCCAGCACTCAATTTACGATGCAAAGTATTCCATACAATTTCAGAAACAGGGTTATTACAATTTTTATATTAATCTTACGCGATACGCGAGATACATGTCTGTATTATCACACTCAATGTTTCAGTATATAATTATTTCGCATCGTTATTATCTAACCAACCACAATGTTTCCTTGCTATTACCATTTTATTATCATTAATAGGCTATACAATATAATATAATATAATGAATCACTAATATTTTGATAATTTATATTTTGTCTCAATATAGACCTCCTACCACCGAGAGAGCGTATTTTTAACTAACACCTGTATTAAATATTATATATATATCTGTTGGAAATGCTAAATATTAATTTATGCACACCATAAGTTGGTTGCTGAAGTAATTACATTTTAAGATATTGTAAATACCAGATGAAAATTTAATTATTTTAATTTAAAATTATTTATTCAAATGCTGGGCTGCTGGACAGCCAAACTTAATGCATAGCAAAAACTTTCTTTAATACGTTAAAACTCTAGAAGTGTGCCAAAAAAGTCTCTGAAATGTTTAGAAAGCGTTTTGCAGCAAGTTGCAAAATTGTAAATTTTCTTTATTAAAGACATATTTTTCCAGAGATGTAATATAGATTTACATTCGAAAGTTTCTTTTTATCGTTACGAAAACAATTGCAAATACAGTTCGGTTACATCTTGAGTTTTAATTTGTTATGCTGATTCTCATTAATATTTGCCTTTACGTTTTACGAGGTACATTAATCATTTTGTGAAACTGATATCATTAAAATACAAGTTTAAGATTGTGATTGACGTCACTAATTAATTTATGAGTATGATATATTAACATCGATAATAAAATGCTGTAATTTATTTGTTAGATTAACCCCCCGTAAAACAGGAGATAAGAGTTCGACAATTTTGTTAAATGTCCTATAGGTAATATCTGATTGTTATTCTCTGTCAGATTTCAATCATAATTTTAGTTTCGTGTATCGAAAAATGTAACCTATTCGCTATCGTTTTCGTAATTTTGCGAAACTTCTCTAACAATAGCCACCTAAAATATGTTAAATATTAAGCCCCCTGAAATTATGCTAATGACCTAATCTTATAGACAATTTACAGTACCTCCATACTTGACGTCGATATAGGCCTATATTCCATAAAATTCCATTACCAATACGTCTAAAATAAATTGGTAAACCCCATTCTTATTGTAGAAATATTTTAAATATAAAATGACAAATAAAGTTGTTGCTGTTCTTCGATATCTTGTTCGTATTTTTAATTTTTTCCCAAGTGATTTCTTCTTATGATACAAAATCAAAGATCTTAAAATTACAAGATTTCCGCGTGCAAATTCTTTCGCAGTGTACGACACGCTCTTGCTAAAGTGATTACTTTTCAACTTTTTTTTACAAGATCCTTGTACAAAATGCGATTCTGTCAATAGAGGCCGGCATACCGTGTAATTCAAAAATTGTTCATTACTAATTGGGAAATGTACAGTTGAACGACCAATCCACCGTAATGTAATCATTGTTCTTTCTATGAATATTTATTTACTATCATAACTATTATGTGAATAAGCAATTATCTTCTTCGACAGGTCATTAATTGTTCTGTTTACATTTTTATCCGTTACAGCACACCACAACGACTACCACCACCTAATAAAGAACACCAGCAATACAGTTGTCTCCATATTTGGAACTTTTTTTTGAGGATAATAAACTTGTTATCTAACATATATGTTAATAAAAATATATAAACAGAGAGCACAATGTTATCTAAATTTGGAAAAAAGGACTAGTCGGTGTTCATGAGTAGTACACTTTATCCTTTATTACCTTAGAGATAAAGGTCGAAGGTCAAGGTAGTGACTGCACTCTAGATTTATGAAATTGTAACCAAGACTAATATCCTTGTAACAAACGAGAACATAATATTATGCATTAAAAAGGCACGTTTCATTAATCCCTCAAGCTGAATTAAAAAAAATTAATATAAATTAGTTAACAAGAAAAAAAATAACATTTAAATTATGGATCTAGTTCGCTTGGATTTTCATTCAGTAGGCCCTACAGCAATATCAATGAAACCTAATAAACCTAACATATAGTCCACACATAATAGAGTTCAGTTAGACCTATATATGTTAATTTGAAGAATATTAAGATATGGCTTTGAACTGGGGTCAGCTATGAATCTGTATCCAGGTCTGGAGTTCAGATGATGTAGCCTGCAGCAATTTCTTGTACTTGCATATGATACCCTGGAAGAGAGACCGCAATGTGAGAGTAACATAATGGTAAAACCGAGTAATCGAGTAATACTTTTCAGCATTGAAATGAGTTCAAGTTCACATAACGAAATAGTAACTTACTATAAAGTAATAAATAGTAGAAATAATAAATTAATTTCGTAAAAACGCACAGGTAGATCTTGTGCCGGGCACAATCACTGCGGCGTACGACAAGTCCAGCTCCGCTCTATATGAGCGCAAAACGGCGCGACGCCGTCTGCTCAATAGCGAGCTTTCGAAATGGGCGACGCGGGGAGCTACGACGGGGAATTCAGTCAACCATGAACGTCGTACTATGCACTTCCCGTCTCAACATCAAAGCTGTTTCGATTTACAGGTCGACGCGCTCCCTCGTATCGCGTAATCAATTATGCAGGCGCCCCCAGCGAGACGTCATAACCTAACTCACGTTGCCGTAGTCAACACAACGCCAAATCGCTTAAAGCCCGTTGTCAAATCCACACAACGAACGGCTTCCCTGTGTATTCGTAGGCGGTTTCATGCTCCACTGCCCGTCGTAGAACGCCGCGTCGTCCAAATCGAAAGCTGCTTATTGTCGGTGGCAGTCTGAACGGATCGTCATTAAAAACGATCTTTGCGCGCACGACGCCGTGACGTTGCGTTCTCAATTGAATCGACGAAGAACGTTAAGCCTGTTTTCCATGCGCAACCAATCAGAACTCAGGAAGCGAACCGACGCTTTGATTCTCGCGAATAAATTCGCCTAGTGGAAAACCACCTTTAGGCGCAGTGAGTGCCCGGCTATAGGCTTAGTCTTAAATGAAGAACGTGTACGCATTAAAGAGGTTAGGGAACCACAAGTATCAAAATATCGATATTGTTGAGCAGAAATCTGTATTTACCTTCTGTTTATTTGCTGCTTGTTTGATTATTAGCTTTGTCAGCCACTTTTCGCATGTGCTAAGGACAGCTTCGCTGAATCCAGAAACGCGTTGTAGTTCTGAAGTCCACGCGTTACTGTCGTCTGCATGTAAAATCTTTCTGGCAAGACAAACCGCCGATGCCGCTTTTTCTGAGGAGGTGAACGCACACTGATGAAGGTCTATCAGGCTCAAGTCAAGCAAGTATTTACATAAGTTTTCTTCCTGAAATAAAGTTGCATGTTAACTTGGTATCTTCCTTCATGTTAAATGTTTATTTTAGAGAAACAATGATTTTTGTGTGTGTGTGATTTAATACAGTAAGTAAGTCGTGTGCACTACTACACCACAATGAGAATAAAAATAAATGTTCTTTACGAACACATTCCACCGAATGGTATTTGGAGAAGGTTTTTGTTTCCTATCGATTTTAATATCTAAACCATGATTTTTTTAAAATTGATATTGATTACGTCATACTTTAAAATGTGTTAACAGAATGATTGGAAAGTTTAGTCAACGGTTAAAAGATAACTATTATAATGACATATTTTTGAAGGTTTGCATGACCAAGTAATAATTAAAGGATTAATGTTTGCGGTACAACACGTTGATAGTTCTAGAAGAACTGTTGTTGGTTGAGAATGTCACAACTTTTTCGATTGAGATTTAGATCAAGATCGTCCTAGAATAATAGGCCTATCTGCAAAAAAAAATTTCAAACGGGAATACTTAAATGAGACTTGCTGCTGATTAGTGGAAAACTAAACAATAATAGCAATAGAAACAAAATAAAGTACAAGAGTTTTACGTTTCTTGATTGTTGTGAACTATTGAGGTATCGTACTAAAAAGATCTTAGCAGACGGGAAACAAAGGCAGAAATTTAAAGTCGCCAAAACGTCCATCTCCATCTCTCGAAGTTGGGTGGTTGTGTATGTATTGCTTGTTAGGTAACAGAGATCCTGCATCTAGTCATGAAACGATACAGAAATACCTTAAATAATACTATAACAGAAAATCTTTAAAGATATCATCAGTGTTGAGCTAATAAACATTACGTCATCACTGTAACTCCCAATGTTGTTTCTCTATCCCCAACAGTGCACTCATTTTTCATTAGGGCACAGTTTGACGTCAGCAGCACTGCAACTCCCAGTGTTATTTCCGTATCCCCAACCGTACCCCAACAAACCATTTTTCATTAGTGCACGGTTTGCTTGATTTTTTTTTTCGGTTCGTGTGCAAAAGGCTAATTCAATTTGGATGTATCGCGATAGGCCTATATAAATTATAGGCTAGTGTTTTTGCTTAATATTATTTGTCAATTTTTTTAATTTAAAGTTAATGCTTATTGTTATAAAAGCACAGTTCTGGTTCTGGTGGTAAAGCCTAGATTTCTTTCTACACCTAAAACCATAAACAGTAGAAATGTCAACTATTGTTTTCAAAGAATCAGTCAACGGCAGCCAGATGCCCTACACACGCGAAAACAAGAGTAAGTATTTAAAGTTAATTTAAATTAAGAAATTAAAGATAAAAGCTAATTTATATATTTAAATTGGTTATTAGCTCTCAATTAAATATATATATGTAAGCTTTTCCTTGAGAATGTGTGGAATTTTGAGTCCCAAGTACAAAAATATACCAATTCAGTTTTAAAGCTTAAAATTGGGGGGGGGGGGGGGGGGGGGGATATCAAAGGGTTTTGCGAGATACAACAGGGCCAAATATATTAAAAATAAACTGAAATTGCAGGAAGACAATTAAAAAATGGTATATTAAAAAAAATTGCAAAACCACTGGGAAGTATTTTTCTTGACAGAGTCGAATAGTGAATGACTACGGTAATCTAACTATAGAGGGCAGCATAATCGTCTGGCTGCCGCAGCGGTAAATAGTTAACAAAACAAGACATTTAAACAGACACTCATGAGGACGCGATATTAACTATTGTATTGTAATTGTTCAGATTTATTCTCTTTGTTGCCTACCAGTATATTGAGTAAAAATAATTATAATTATGAAATTTAAAACGAAACATCCAAATGTACTTCCTCATCATACCATTAACAGATAATGCATAACAACTAACTATAAACCTTTAATTAAATGGCTAATAAAAGGTCCTAGAATCGTTGCAGTATGTAGTTAAGAAATATAAGAATGGTTAAGACATATTCGTACCGTAGGCGTGATCATTTCTTCGCATTTGCAAGCTATAAAAAGGCATGCGATGCCAAGTAA